ATCTCCTTATTTGTAATAATCTGATGCTGATGTGCTAACAGATTAATAATCTCCTTATTTGTAATAATCTGATGCTGATGTGTTTACAGATTAATAATCTCCTTATTTGTAAATCCAATACCAAAGTATAACTCAACACTTTATTCGACTTTATTCTTGTAAGTCATCCTAAAGTGTATTCCTTAGTGCACAATGAACTTCAAAACGTTTAAGTCACAATATATTTTATTTACTTTCCAGTTAGCCTGTAAGAAGAAGAGGAACTAATAAAGGAGAGTTCACTGAGTCCTGAATGCTCCTTTGTTCGTGTTGCAGGTGATGGAAAGTGAGGAGTTCATGCTGCTTCCTGCCAACCAGCTGATCGACATCATCTCTAGTGATGAGCTGAACGTGCGAAGTGAGGAGCAGGTTTTTAACGCTGTGATGGCCTGGGTCAAATACAGCATCCAGGAGCGCAGACCTCAGCTGCCTCAGGTTTGTTGGTTTGGACGTGTACAGATGTTTTCTTTTGGTCAATATATAGTTTGGAAACATAAACATTGAACGGTACATTTCTTTTTATTTTGTATTTTTTCCTTTATTATTATTTTTTGTCTTGTTAGTGTTTCTGATTAATCTGCGAGGAAATACTTGATACACTTCAACTTGAGGTTGTGTGTTCTGCAGGTCCTGCAGCATGTTCGCTTACCGCTTCTCAGCCCCAAGTTCCTGGTGGGCACTGTGGGTTCAGATCCTCTCATCAAAAGTGACGAAGAATGCAGGTGGGTGCTGTTTTCACTGGCCGCCACTAAAGGCGAAGGCGGACAGTTGTTTTTACCCATGTCTGTCTGTTTGTTACCAAAATATACCTTGAATCCAAACCAAATTTTAACGAAACTCTCAGAAAATAATAATTGGCTAAAAATGGCTAATGCTCAGTATATTTTACAAACACTGAGCCAAAACTTCATGTGGTAATAACTAAGTCGTTCGCAGCACGTAGTCTGACATCTCGTGAGATTATATGAAATGTAGCATTATTTTCAAGGTTTGACTGAAATGAGGACAACTCCATCGTTTCTCTACCTAAGATGATTTTAGTCTGAAACTCTGACATGAATTCAAATTTTTGTTCAAGAAATGTGTTTTTAATTCTTGTGAACATGGTTTTGTTTTTTTGGTCATGCGGGCTCATGAGAATGTTCTGGTGAGTAACACAATCTCTTGTTTTCTGTTGTTTCAGAGATCTGGTGGATGAGGCGAAGAATTACCTTCTGCTGCCACAAGAAAGGCCATTGATGCAGGGACCCCGAACACGACCAAGGAAGCCAATCCGATGTGGAGAGGTTCTTTTTGCAGGTCGGTATTTAAGTTTTTATATATATATATATATATATATATATATATATATATATATATATATCTACCTGGTGGAGGTGCTCGAGTGACTGACTGCTGAGATCCTGGAGCTGGCAGGAAATGTGGCTCATGATGAGATAAGATAAAAGTTTTTTGTCTTCCACTATTGTGGCATAAATTTTCCTTCGACACGCTCTACATTCATCATATACACACAAGAACCAAGAATAGAACATAATAAAAACCACATTATCACCATTAGTTACCACCATTAAGATGTGTCTATGACAACAAGAAGACCAGGATTATCTCCCGACACCTGCAGTTGGTTGTCTGCAATGATGAGGAGCTCCACAAGCTGCTGAGAAGAGTGACCATTGCTCAGGAAGGAGTTCTGCCAACATTCAGGTGGTCTGGCTGCCCAGGAGGACCGAGAGGCCCGCTAAGTCTGGGTGGACGGATCGGCATCCATGGTCAGATTCTTCAGATCCGATGTGGGATTGCTGTGGGAGATCCTGCCCACAGCAATCAGCATCTAGAACAACTCTTAATGAAACAAGGATGATGAGTTACAACAACAGTTAATTTCCCTTTGGGATTAATAAAGTGTTTTGAATTGAACTGAATATTGCTTCACAAAAAGAAGTTATTTAATTTGAGTTTAGGACCCCTTTGTTCAGAGTCCTAATTTGTATTTTGTATGACTTCATCTCGTGTCACCCTGTCCTGTAGTGGGTGGTTGGTGCAGCGGAGATGCCATTTCCAGTGTGGAGCGCTACGACCCTCAGACCAACGAGTGGCGCATGGTAGCATCGATGAGCAAACGGCGATGTGGAGTTGGTGTCAGCGTCCTGGATGACCTGCTGTATGCAGTGGGAGGTCACGACGGCTCGTCATATCTCAACTCTGTGGAAAGGTTGTTACAACAGCTCAGCATGTCTTTGAAAATGGTTCTCTTGATGGATGTGGGCAATTATCAGTATTTCAGAGTGTCTAAAAATAATAACGCTGTCACTTTGAATGCCTTCATTGATTAATTTTGTGTAATTATAACTACATTAAATGTAGTTTTTCTTTCTTTAATCAAAACATAATTTATTAGAAGTGTTCTTCAGAGTCAGAGATTCTTTATTGTCATTCGCACCTCATGTGGTGGAGCGAAATTATGTACACAGGGTCCCAGTTACATCCAGCAATAAAATGTAAAAGAAAAACAATGATAACATCTAAGATATGAACTAAGAAAAACATCAACTAAAAATACACTAAGCACTAAAAGAATAAAACATTACGTTGAACAGCAGCACCAACATCAGTCTGTGTGAGCAGATGAGCACGCATGAACACATCAACATTGAAACAGATCAGCAGCAACATGAAACAGATCAGCAGCAACATGAAACAGATCAGCAGCAACATGAAACAGATCAGCAGCAACATGATGTGATTTTTCACAGCGATTATTCTGGTTAGAGATTCATGAGTCTAACAGCCTCAGGGTAGAAGCTGTTCCTCAGTCTAGTGGTTCTACACTTAATGCTCCTCAACCTCTTTCCTGAGGGGAGCGGGGCAAAAAGTGTGTGCTGGGTGAGTGGGGTCCTTCATGATGCAGGTGGTCCTCTTTCTGCATCTGGAGGTGTAGATGTCTGTGATGGTGGGGAGGCTGACTCCGTTCTTCTGTGCAGCCTTCACCACTCTCTGCAAAGCTTTTCTTTCTGCAGCTGTGCAGCCTCCATGCCACACGTTGATGCTGGAGCACAGGATGCTCTCCACTGCACACCTGTAGAAGGAGGTGAGGACTGAGCTTCCCAAATCAGCTCAGCTGTCTGAGGAAGTAGAGTCTCTGATGAGCTTTCTTGATCAGGCTGGTGGTGTTGTTGCTCCAGCTGAGGTTGTCATTCGTGTGTACACCCAAGTACTTGTAGCTGGAGACCACTTTCACCACAGATCCTCTTATGTTCAGGGGGGTGTATGTGCCTTTGTTCCTTCTGAAGTCCACAATCATCTCCTTTGTCTTCTTCACCTTGATGTGAAGGTTATTCTCTCTGCACCAGCTCTCCAGGTGTTCCACCTCTTGCCTGTAGCTGGACTCATCATTGTTTGTGATGCATTCCACCACCGCTGCATCATCTGCAAACTTTACAATGTGACAGCCTGGATGGGTAGCTGCACAATCATACGTGAGCAGAGTAAACAGGAGGGGACTCAACACACATCCCTGAGGAGAGCCAGTGCTGAGGGCCTTTGTGGAGGAGGAGAAGTTGTGGATCCTCACTAACTGGTTTGATGACAGTTTCCTGGCCCTTAATGTCAGTAAAACTAAGGAACTTTGTTTGGGAGGTAGATGGGTAGCAGCCAGCACCAGACCTACTTTTAGGCCTTCTATTATAAAAGGGCAGGAAGTAGAGCAGTTCTAGGCAGACACTGATACTCTATACCTAAACACTGCCTAACCCTACCCTTCAACTTTTGTATTTATTATTTAACCTTTCTAATGAGCTGCAATCTTGTAATCCTGAGGTGGCAGGTCCAAGCCATGGTTGGATTAGGTAAGGCAGCTGGTGAAAACAGATTGCTAAAATGTTTACGTGCGTTCGCTCACTGTGACAACCTCTGCAGAAGGGAGCAGCTGAAAAACACAAACACCTAAAAGGAGAAGAACAGTAGCTAAGAGAACACTAGCTAAATGCTAAAAGGAGGAGAACACTAGCTAAGAGAACACTAGCTAAATGCTAAAAGGAGGAGAACACTAGCTAAGAGAACACTAGCTATAAACTAGAAGGAGGAGAACACCAGCTATAAACTAAAGTGAGAGGAACACTAGCTAAAAGGCAAAAGCAAAGTATCAAATGTCTGATAGAACCTTCAAATTAAAAAATGGTTGGGGAATAGTTCAAAATCACACAACTGCAACAACAACTCTACATGTCTGAATGTAAAGGTGATTTTTAAACGCACGCTTGTTTCTCACCCGAGCAGATACGATCCTAAGACCAACCAGTGGAGCAGCGACGTGGCCCCCACCAGCACCTGTCGAACCAGTGTGGGGGTTGCTGTTCTTGGTGGTTATCTGTACGCTGTGGGGGGACAGGATGGAGTTTCTTGTCTCAACATTGTTGAAAGGTGCCCCTTTTTTCTTACTGTCCATGTTTTACCAAACGGCACAAATGATGTTCTTTTACCTGTTACTAACTGCACTTTGTGTCCTGACGTATTCATGATTTGATCAAACTAGAACCCACTATCATCATCATCAATCTTTGTATGGCGTTGGTATCTCATCAGGCTGCCTTTGTTGAAGTCTAGTTGGCAGCTCCAAGTTGTGAAACAACAGGACAAGTTTTAGTTTCAGTGGTTGCACCCAGTGATCTGGCACCTGCATTTTGAACGACTATTCAAGGTTGATTTAACTGAATTTAATGGGATTTTCTAAAATCACAGCATGTCCTTATGTGCACAACTTACAACATTGTCTTTACTTGCACACATTATTTTGTTGTCCACCTCCTCCCACTTTCTGTCCTCCTCTTCATCATTTAATCTGCTGAAGCACACTTTTGAAATGAAGAAGTTTAGACTACTTTTTCAATGTTCAACGTTTATAATCAGTGTAGATTTTTTTAATGTCTGGACATTGACCTAGGATGTTTTGTCTGAGAAGATCAACCAAACTGAGAGGGGTTTGAGATGCCCACAATGACCATTTAGCGAAAAATGAACCGTTAAAAAAAAAAAAAAAAAAAAAAATATATATATATATATATATATATATATAACATGCTCCAAACTCGAGCAGCAATTGGGACTTGTGCAAACATTTTGAGACATTTTGGAGACTTCCTTGTGAACGCTGTTCACCAGTTAGTCATCAACAATTACACCCCGGCAGGATGTCTTTAGTTCTTTTGCTGGATGTGTTGTTTGGTGTGACTGTTTAACGTGCGACAGCCTTTCCTGTTTGTAGGTATGATCCTAAAGAGAACAAGTGGACACGTGTCGCCTCGATGAGCACCAGGCGACTTGGTGTAGCTGTCGCTGTGCTCGGAGGATTTCTTTATGCTGTTGGAGGGTCTGATGGGACTTCTCCTTTAAATACAGGTACTTGAGGTTAAAAGATACATTTTAATAAAACTAAGAAGAGTAAAAATGATGCGACTCTGTGCAAAAGCTTATTCCCAAAGTGGACACCTGGTTCACTTCTTTGTTATAGCTGTAACCTTTAAGTGCCTCGCTCTTCTTTTTCATCTTGTTCTCAGTGGAGCGCTACAACCCTCAAGAAAACCGCTGGCACACCGTGTCGCCTATGGGAACCAGGAGGAAGCACCTCGGCTGTGCGGTGTACCAGGACATGATTTACTCTGTTGGAGGGAGAGACGACACCACGGAGCTGAGCAGCGCAGAGAGATACAACCCCAGGACCAACCAGTGGTCCCCTGTCGTGGCCATGACGTCCAGGCGGAGCGGGGTGTGTGTTTGGATTGAGAAGTCACTTCTTTTAATTAAAGTTTTAATTTTATTTTGCCACGATTAATATTAAAGTGCTTACTTTAAACCATTCCCTCTGTCTGTAGGTGGGCTTGGCAGTAGTGAACGGTCAGCTGATGGCAGTAGGAGGCTTTGATGGAACAACGTATCTGAAAACTATAGAAGTTTATGATCCGGACGCCAACACGTGGAGGTAAATGTCACCACTGCATGCTCCATGTTTTTACAGAAGGCAGTGCTGTAAAATGAAAATACTAAAATATTGTTCTATAATATATAAATATGGAGTTTAAAGTGAACTTTCTGATTCAGCAGCAAAGGAGACTAGCAAGTAAAACATAGATTTGATTAAAATGATCTGATGCTGTTTTAAAAATAAACCAAAATAGACCAGAGTAAAACATTTTCTTTAATTTGTTGTCATAGAAATGTAGTTTTGAAGATTAAAATAGAATTAATTGACTGCTGAGTCATTTTGATCAACTTAAATATTGTCTATAAATTTTGACCCATGAGCACAAAAAAGTGAAAATTATCTGAAAAAAGCTGAAATTAGCAAAAAAAACAGCTGAAAATTAACTTAAAAAGCAGAAAGAAGCTGCTATTACAAGCTGGAAGAGGAGAGAGCACATTTATGCTGAAGTAGACTGAAAAAAGTTTAAATGTGTTACAAAAAAGTGGAATTAGCTGAAAAAGCTAAAATTAGCATAAAAATAGCTAAATAATAGCTGAAATATCAGAAAAAGCTGAAATTTGCAGAATTAAGCATAAAGGAGCATAACAAGCTGAAATTAGCAGAATGAAGTTAGAAGAAGCACAAAAATGTTGTAGCTAGCAGAAAGAATCTGAAAGAGCACAAAACAGCTGGGAAAAGAAAACAGCTGAAAGCAGCTGAAAAAATGTTTAAATTTACACAAGGAAGCTGAAAGAAGCTGAAGCAGAACAAAATGTGAAAGGAGCAGTAAAAGGTTGTAAACAGATGTAAAGATATGAAGGATGTAACATGAGCTCAATTCATTTTCTATGAGAACAAATGGCAGAGAAGGCTAAATATTTCAAAAAGCTAAATTCACAGCAGGATTGTCCTGAAAGAGCTGAACATTTTGATTTATGATTTGTTGAAATAGCTTGAAAACTGCGGGACAAGAATTGTGCCGAAAAACGTGCAGAAGAAAAACGGATGACAAGTGTGAATGCTTCATAAACATTCACACAATAAACTCCTGTGCATGTCAACATTTTTGTCATATATTTATAGTGAACATAAATGATGTGTAAGTAGGTGCCCATGCAACATAATGCTGCTCACATTCTTTCCTGTGCTTACAATTATAGAATACAGCGATCTGTGGTTAGAGCCAACTCTTAAAAACAAACACTGCAGAGAAAACTCACCTGAACTGCGAGATATCCGTGGAATACACTGAACTGCAACTTATAGGCCAAAAAGACATATTTATGGATTTTTCCCCATATTTATAAACCAGTTTTTAACTGACACATGACGGTTTCCATTCTGACTGAAAATAAAATAAAAAAAAAAAATAAAATAAAAATTGAGCAGTACCACTTTCAGCCACTTGATGGCAGCAGAGTAGTAGAGTATGGCATGCTGTTGTATCATGTAAAAGGTAAATGTGACTATAATGACAAATTCAAAAATGTTCAAGACAAAAACAACTGGACTTTATTTATTACACTTTATGCTTTATTTTTTTGTCTTGATCTTTTTTTAATTTGCCATGTCCTGGATGACGAAGAATCTTCACCAGCTATTAATGACACAATCGGCCTGCCATAGTCTCCCCACCTTCATTTTGCTCTCTGCTTAGAACCGTCAAACCAGCTGTACCGCCCTGGTGAAATGCAGCTAATTTGACCATTAAAGTGCATTTATTAAGCAAACGTTAGACTGAGACACACTTTTATTATAATTTCAAGCAAACAAACAATTGTTTAGGTGCTTTTCTTGTTAATTTTCGGAGAAACGAGTCATGTTCTTCCTCCCTTTTTTCTTCCTCTGCACGTTCACGGAGCAGCGAGGCAGCAAAACTATTTTTGAAATGCAGCTGATTGGACCATCAAAGTGCATTTATTAAGCAAACATTAGAACGAGACACACATTTACTATAATTTTGAGCAAACAAATAATTGTTTTTAAGTGTTATTCTTGTTAAATTCTTGTTAAAGTCCTCCCGTGCACGCTCGCACGGCTGCCATTTGGCAGCCCATCGATTTTTTTGGGGCACAACACGGGCCCACACTTCTGGGTTGTCAGCGGTGACTCATAATAGATGCGACATATACAACGAAGTGACATATTTATGGATTTACCCACTTTATTAGACAAATATGGCATGATGCGACTTATAGGGCGGAGCAACGTGTACGACGGAAAATACGGTAAATGACTGCTCTTTGCTGAAAAGCTCTTGAAACGTCACACTAACTCATTTGCATCAAAAATCCTCAGCATTTAGACCACCTGAACGGGACACATCAGTACGGGTCCGATTTATTGTACCTGTTGCTGATCCAAACGTTTATCGACTGCGTGAGGTTTCTCTGCTTGTGAATATTTCAGAATTCCAAAACCTTCAGGGTCCAAAATGCCTGCCGTAGTGGTTGAAGATGAACTGATATTTAATGTCCGTCTTGTTGTCTTTCTCCAGGTTGTATGGAGGAATGAACTACCGGCGGTTAGGTGGAGGAGTGGGCGTCATTAAAATGACTCACTGTGAATCTCATATATGGTAACACCACCTGTGACCCCTCCCTCCTGCTCACCTGCGTTCACTCCTCATCACGTTGCAGCGGATTTCTCACCACAGGAGATGAAGTGATGCCAGTGAGGACGAGAGCATTATGGGAACGGAAGGAAAGACGGAAACAGACTTACGGACTTATCGTCAACCTCCACCTAAAGGTCGTTGTTTTTTTTACCCAGGACGTCTTCACTGACTGACCAACTCACCACGAAGTGCACGGGGAGCTGAAGTTGACTCACCATTAAGCTTCCAAGTCTGAAGGGAACACCCCATGCACTCTTATTTTCATCATTCAAGCCTCGGGGTCAGCATGCGTACCAGATGGAGCGCACCACGACTGTTATTGCTGCTGGGGGGTGGGGGTTCAGAGGGTCTAAGAAGTCTGGAAACACGACTTCATTAGAAGAAGGCTGACTTTTTAACGCCATCTACCAAAACACAAACACAACGGTGCACGTTGACTGTCCGAGGTGAAGCTGAACTTTGTTTTTATGTTTGAAGTCCTCCATCACAGCTGAGGACACAGTAAGACCTGATGTCACATGTGGGTGTTCTACTTCTTGTGTTTAAAGTGTGCCTGTGCACCAGCAGAGGACAAAACCGTCCCGTCCCACAAAAGTCAATCAGATGGTGATCAGAGCTGGGATGTGTGGAAATGTTTCTGTGAATGGTTAAAGCATTGGTTTAGTACTGTTGGTGGAACTTGTGTATCAGATTAAAACGAGCCAAAATCGTCAAGTAGTGTCGCTGATTTAACGTTCGCGTCACCGTCTCGCTCCGCAGCTCAACTCGGCCGTGCTAACGTAGAGAAAGCTGCTCTGTGGAGCGAGCCGAGCCTCGTGGGCCAGCTCACTTTGTTTCTTCATCAACTCAAATTGTGTCAAAGATGGGACGTTGTGTAAAATGTGAATTAGAAACGTGTTGGTTGTGAAGCACCCCCCTCTTCTTTTAGCAAAGTGTCAAAGACAATCAAGTTCAGTATTTTGTTTTTATTTTCCAAAAAAATAATAAATTTTCTTTAAACATTTGTTCACTGTGTTCAAATGGGAGTAAAATACAAGTCTGAGAGATTTTCAAATGATCACAGTGTTTTATATTTACATTATACACAACTTTTTTTAAACTGGGTTTGTAATGAGTCAGTAATTACTCTGAAAAACTTGGGAAAATACCACATAAAATACCTGAGAGGACAAACTTGTGCTGTTTTTAGCTGTGTAAATCATACACTTTTGATGCTCTGCATTTTTCTAGCAGACCGTAGTTAAGTAAGTTCTGCCTCCAATATAAGAAAGAAAGAAAAGAAATGCAACACGTCAACAAGTTTGACAGCTGAACATGTTCAGCCACTACTTGATGATTCTTTGGTGGCAGGTTTGTTTGGTAGCTCGTTCTACAGCTGAAATATATTTGTTCCTCTTTCAGATCTGACCTTAACGCTCAACTCTAGTGAGAAAATAGGTTGTGACTGCATTTAACCTGGATGGAAAACAATATTTTTTTCTGTATATGAATAAATAAATTATGTAAAGGTCAGAAAGGTTAAATGTAGTCACACGAGCATGTTTTGAATGGCGTGCTCTGCTCTCAGACCCTCATTCTGGTTTTAAATAAAGTTGCACTTCACAATGGCTCCCCCTGCTGGAGAATAACTGCAGCGCAGCACCAAGTCATTAAAACACTTGTAGGTTTTACAACTGATCTCAGCTCAGCATGAGTTTTCATCAGATGATGAAAATGGTTTGGGTGTTTGGAAAAGTCTTTTACATTTATTTTTTTATTCTGTTTTTTATGGTCCTAGAGCAACGTGTAAATAACATTTCAGGCCTTGATGCTGTGCAGAGGTGGGTTTCTGTTTGAATTTGCTCTGCGTTTTTAACCGTTTGTGCAACAAACCCGAGGCTAAAAGTGAGTCTGATCCAGGCAGAGGAACTGAATTATATTAATGATATTCTCGTGTGCAGGAAGGACCTAACCTGAATGTATGAGTCTTTGAGATTTGGTTGGGTTTAGGTGTTTGATGTTTTTGTGTGATGGTTGGGCTTCAAGCTGCAGGGTTGTGTCTGAGGTTACCAGATGCAGGACTTCACTTAAGAAATGAATGTTTATGCTGCAGAAAGCTCACTTGAATTTTAAACCTGAACATTTATCTTGTTTTTTTTTCTTCTTTTTTTAACTTGAGAATAAAGATTTGCTCCGCAGCATGTTGTGCGTGTGGTTATGGTGCAGGCTTTGCTGACAGTTGCAAAAACAAAATGGTGTCTGATTAGCAATGTCTGCCTTTGTCTTAAAAAAAAAAAAAAAAACTAAGAAAATGTTGCTATTTTCTTTGTCGCCAAATTAAAGCAAACAAATGAACAAATATCTATGGTTTGGAGCTTAACATGCACTTCTACATTAGTCCTGGGTTATTTATTTGCTGCTTAATTAAGTTCCCACAGGCTAGTAAACCATCCTGTTGTGACTGTCTGACTAATCCTCACTTCTTTTTTCCCATTCAGATCAACACATGGAGCATTACAGCAGTCTACACATGCACTGTTTCGCAGGCGTCTCACACACCTTGATTTTGGCGTGTGCGTTTGCAGCCGTCTCAGGAGCATTACAGCTGTATATCTACACCAGAGCTCAGACTGAAAAATATCCAAGTCAAATGTTCAGGTCGAAAACTGCGCTGATAAATCCTTGAAAACATTCAGATCTCTGCGGTGGCGACAATGTGGGTATACAGCTTTTGACAATTGCTTCAATAAACTTGCTCTATTTTTGTTTTATGCTACTTTTATCTTTTAGATATTGTTCTTTTACTTGTAGCTACGGTACTTTTAGCAGTTAGCGAGCCTTATGTTGCAGTTGGCTCCTCATTTGCTATTTTAGCTTTTAGCTAACCCTCTTTTATGTTTTGCTTTTTGCAAGATTTTATACTTTAAGCTTTTGGCAATAAAAATATATTGTTTTAGCTTTTAGTTAGCCTTTAGATACTGTATATCTAAGCTAACTTTTACTGCATTTAATTTTTAGCTAGGTTTAGCTTCTTTTACCTTTTAACAGCTTAGTCACAGTCAGTTTATTTGTCATTCTGCCACATGTGGTACATGTGGTGGAATGAGATTGTGTACACAGGGTAAAATGTAAAAACAGTAATAAGATCTATATGACCTAAGAAAAACGTTAACTGAAAACACGTTAGGAACTAAGAGCAGAAATACAATATATATACATACACTGCCTGGCCCACAAAAAAGTCGCCACCTGGATTTAACTAAGCAAATAGGTACGAGCCTCCTGTTGGACGATTATCTTTCAGCTGACAAGTTATTTAACCCCAACTGGTGCAATGAGTTTCTTAAACAACCATGTCAAAGACGCATGGCGTGGTCGTGGAAAATATGTCGGTCTGTTTGAGAAGGGTCAAATCATTGGCATCATGCAGAGAAAATGTCTGTAGTATGACATATGCAGGATATATTCATACATTTTACGGGTTCTTCATTTTTCTGAACTGTGTAAATGTAGTGCATTGAATTTAACAGAAATGTAACGAGACGTTATTTATCTTTGACCCATCAAAATGAATGCGGTCATTTATTTACAGAATCAAAGATTAACATCAAACATTTACATTAATTTGGCAAAATATGAAAACAACAACATGGCTAGTTTTACAGGAAGTGAGAACAATACGGCGACTGTTTTCACTTTTCAGCAGAACAGCAGACTTCAATTCACACGGCGGTGATTGAGAAACTTTGCTTCAGACATTTCTAAAAATATCTGTAATGATTTTAGGAGAAAGGAGAGTTTAAGATGGAAAATGGAGATTTATCTTACAGAGAGATGTGTGAGGGAATTTATCTGTGGTACCAGAACAACACGCTCTTTCAGACTTCAGCTCGTCCCAACAGTACACTTTTGGTGAAGGTCGACTTTACCTTTCTGAAGATAGATCAGTTCGGCGTGAAGTCCTACTTCCAGCCACTTCCAGCGTCTCCGTTGAGAACAGCTAAAATACCTCGAGAGTCGTGCGAGGTTATCCAAACAGGAGTTATAATTCCCAAAATCCCTCTGGATCAGCTTGATTCTAATAGAAGCATCCTGGACGCCTGCGTTAGCATCCAAGAACTCTGAACTCTTTAACTCTCTTCAGAGAGTTAAACTCTGGAACTCTTCTCCAGGAAAAACTTTCAAGCTCTGGAAAAACTCTACATCTCGGCTCAACTCTACTGTTGAACTGGGAAGTCGCCACATTTAAACGGCTATACTTCCGGTTCATTTGAGAGCTTTCTGATTCGTGGATGGACCAGAACAGAGGTGTGGTTTGTGATGTAAGGTGTTATGGAAATTCAAGGATAGAGATTAAGATTGTTTAAAACAGACAGAAAGATTGTTGGAGAACTTCAGACTTCGTGGAGTCAACTCTCCTGTATCTTGCTGTAAAAGTTAAACATGACATTTCTTTTCAGTAAACTTTTTAGATGACCGAAACCTGAACTTTAACATACTTACAAACTTGCTCATTGAAGACAGAAAAATCAAGAAATGCATATTACCCTGATTTCTTCTTTGAATGAGGAATAAAAATCATTACTTACTGTTTATGTAAATAAAATGAGTAGTTCTCTTCAACCTGTAAACATTGTTTGAACTAACACAATTTGATTATCAAAACATTTGTAAAATAGTAATGATCATAGAGAATTGTCATTTCTACTTGATTAATTCAAGAAAGAAAGTCTCAGGATGGGTCAAACTGTATTTCTGGATGCAGATCAATGAAATGACAGTTTCTGTCCCACAAGGTTCTTAAGGTCAAGGGTTTTGACCTTAGGCTTAGTTTGACATCAGGTTAGGTTCACTACATGTCTAAGGAGATTGAAGAAACTACTAAAATTGAGTTAAGAACCAACATATCCAACATCCAACATATTATTAAAAACTGGAAGGATAGTGGGGACCCATCGTCTTCGAGGAAGAAATGTGGCCAGAAAAAAATCCTGAATGACCGTGATCGGTGATCACTTAAACGTTTGGTGAAATCAAATAGAAGAAAAACAACAGGAGTACTCTGGGCTGTGTTTAATAGTGAAAGTAAGAGCATTTCCACACACACAATGTGAAGGGAACTCAAGGGATTGGGACTGAACAGATGTGTAGTGTTAAATTATATTCTGATCTGAAGCAGGGAGAGGAGGAGCACTCGTCATCCATTTCAGAAGGTTTATTTTACCCACGTGTAAAGTACAAAGATCACAGCACTGGGCCATTGTAACTCTACCATGAGGTCACAAACAATGACCCCGAGTGTAAACTGGAAACCCATCTTCTTCAGAGCTCGGCCACACCTCCCAGGAGGAGTCACCCCCATCATGAATGGGAAGCCCTACTCTATCATGTGACCCAGCTCTCAACCAATAATATCTCACCGGCTTGTATTCTATAATGT